TTGCGCTTGCCAGGCAAGCGCTTATTCTACTGAGCTATCTCCCCGGCCCTGGCCTTGGTTTTCTATTAAAAAATAAATGAATAAAATCTCTTAAGGGCTGGGGAGATAGCTCAGCAGCATAAGTACCTGCCTGGCAAGCACAAGGTTGTAAATTTGATCCCCAGTACTAACAAAACCCCAAAAAACAAAACAAAACAAGAAATCTAACAGTTTAAAATATAACTTAAGGGCCAGGGAGATAGCTCAGTAGAATAAGTGCTTGCCTGGCAAGCACAGGGTCCTGAGTTCAATCCCTGGTATGGCAAAAATAAATAAAATAATAATAAAATATAACTTAAAAATAAAAACAAACTTAGACTCCTTCTGCGTCTCCCAAAGTGCTGGGATTGTGGGCATGTACTACCGTGCTCAGCTAGGGGCTCCCTCCGCAGACTGCTGCTTGCATATCTCTTGAGGCATCTAGCATATGATCCAAGAAAGAGCCACAAAGAAGCCACCGTGGCTTTTAAAGGCTAACCTTGGAAGTCACGCCCGAATTTCCACACTATTCTTTGGCCCTGCCAGGTGCTGGCCGCCACAGTATTAACATGTACTGTGTCAACAGAGAAGACACTGGGGCCTGAGCCCTGTGTCACCGTGATGCTAAGAGGCCAGGCAAGGAAGATTCCTGGCCAAAACAGCCACAAAGGGGTGGGAGCAATGGATAGGTGTGAGGCTTGGAAACCAAGAGATCAAAAGTTTAAGGAGGTCCAAGGGACAATTCGTGACACATTCTTCTGCCAGGTCACCAAGGAGATAGAAGGGTCACTGCACTTAACAACATGGAGGAAGTTGACCTAAAGACCAGCAGGGTGGTGGCCAGAGCCTGAAAGGGAGAGGCTTCCAGAGAATAGGAAAAGGGGAATGGCCCAGGCTTTTAATGACAGAAGGGGAAAAGGTGAGATACCCGTAGTTCCTGGGGGAGCAAGTGGAAGTAAGAGCAATTGCTTTTCCCCCACAGTATTGAGGTTTGGCCAGGGCCTCCCACACGGTAATGCAGTGCCCTACCTTTGAGCCATATCCCTGACCTCTTTTTCAAATTCTGTGGCAAGGTTTTGCTAAATTGCCCAGGCTGGGCTCAAACTTGCAATCCTACTCCCTCAGCCTCCCAGAGTGTTGACACAAGTTTTTTTTTTTTTTTTTTTAGACAAGATCTAACTGTGCAATGCAGGCAGGCAGGCCTTGAACTCACTATGTAGCCTAGACTGGCCTCGAGTTTGCAATAATTCTCCTGCTTCAGCCTTCTGAGTACTGAAATTACAGGCATGCACCAGTGCAGCCAGCTATCCACTTTAAAATTTATTTTGAGACAGTCTCACTAAGCTGGTTATGATGGTCTTGAACTTCTGGTGCTCTTGGCTCAGCCTCTTGAATAGTTGGGATTGTGGGCATGTTCCACAACACCAAGCTGTTAAGATATTTTTTTTTAAGGATGGTATTAGAGGGCCAGCCAGATAGCTCAGCAGACTAAAGCGCTTGCTTAGGCAGATGCAGGGACCAGGGTTTGATCCCTGGTGTGCCAGTGCTGGCCCTGTCCCTGGGGCCCACTGACATGGCTACTGAGACTGGGCATGGTGGCATGTGTCTGTAACCCCAGCACTTAGGAGGCCAAAAATAGGATAATCACTACAAGTCTGATTCATGTGGTGTGACCCCATAGACCCTATACTAAGTACATAAAAAAAGATAAATCACTTACAGTACAAATTTCCCAATTGAATATCATCGTATTTATCCCTAAATTGTACCAATAAACTTAAATATACCAAAAAAAAATGGTGTTAGACACTATACATGGGTGTTTTAGGTGTGTGGAAAGCATCTACTAAAGGAAAAGAAGTGAAGGAGTAGAGAAAAGGGAGCCAGGATTCAGGTCACAAAAGAACTGGTCTTCAGTGTCACAGGAGAGCTGGCCTTAGGGTGAAGAGCATTTGACCACTGTGCTAGGAAGTTGAGGCCAAGAACATGGCCAAGGCTGGGAGCTGCCTTCCACTTCCCTGTTCTCAGCATCATTGGAAGCTTAGGGGCTGAGGGGGCTGGCGCAGAAAAGGCATCAGGGCTTGAGAAGAGTGGAGGGGGTGTCAAATTGCCCTGTAGGGGTGTGAGAGTGGGGGTCCAGCCCAATCTGCAAGGTCCACATGCAGGGATCAGGTTGATGGTGCAGAGCAGGCCAGTGTGACAAGTGCGGCTTTCCTGGGGAAAGAGAGACACCAAGAGGTGGGGGTCCAGAAGGAGTTGGGAAAGTGAGGACAGCAGTGAGGGCAGCCATCCTGGGGGACTGGAAGGCCCTGAGGCTAGGGTGACAGCAGGAGGGAGGAGAAGAGAAAAAGTGTCCCTGTGCCTCAGCTTCCTGAAGTGTTCTGCACCAGCACCCAGTCTAGAGAGTTCAGGAAGGCATGGTGCCACCTCCAGACAGAGGAGGAAAATGACCAAGTCTGTGTCTGACAGCAGTGGAGACACCGACTACTCCAACAGCTTGAGCTGGTTTGTCACGTTATTCACGTCCACACACTTTCAGACAAATGACAAACAATGCAGTTGCACCCACCCAGATGTTGCACAATTGTCCAGATGTGCTGTAACTTCACATGATCCAAGGACTCAGTCTGTCCTGGAAAGGGGTGCAACTACTGCTTTTTGTCACAGACACATCCGTTTCTCAGTTTATCGCCTGACCTTGGCCATCTGCTCACTGCCTGGTGGTGACTGTCCCTCTTTGCCTTTATACTAGGGTGTGTGTTCCCTATGCTGATGGGCTTCTGATAAGATCCAAGGTCGTTTTGCAGGTACTGATAGTCATCAAACCTGCCTGTCTCTTCTGCTGGACTTTGCTTCTGCAGAGGCTGGCATGGACCTAGCACAGGGCAAGTGAATGAACAGGGCCAGCATATGTAAGTGAAAGAGTGTGTAAATAATAGATGTAGATAGGGTGGGGTGGGAAGGTGAGGGGATGGGAAGATGGATGAATGGATGGATGGATGGATGCATGGATGGGTGGATGGATGGGAGGGTGAATGGAGGGGTGGATAGGTGGATTCTAGTAGGGCCAGAGGTTTGAGGAAGAAGTCATCTTACCAAAAAGATATGGGTTTTCTGCTATATCCTTGGGAACTACCTCCCTGTCCAAGAGCCTTGCTTCTTCATAGAAGCTGGGAGCCTTCAGGATAGACAGTCTTCCTGGTCTTGCTTCTTCATAGAAGCTGGGAGCCTTCAGGATAGACAGTCTTCCTGGTCACCTTCTTTCTTTGGTTCTGTCTTTGTGTTTTAGTGAAGGGAGAAGTGACAAAGTTACTGAGCTACCACTACATGTTGAATACTACTGGGCTAGATACTTCTACAGATTCCACTTTGTTTCATGAAGACAGAACCACAACTTTGCGAGGTAGGCCCAATAGTATCCCCATTTTTTTGGAAATGGGGTCTCACTTTTTTTCCCATAATATTTATTGAGAAATAAATAGCAATGAGACAGTTTCAAATCAAATTGGGAGGACAGTTCCAATAATTAACACATTGCATATTGCCTTCCTAGTCTCACTTTATAGTTCAGGCTGGACTTGAAATCCCTATGTAGCCCAAACTGGCCTTGAACTCACAATTCTCCTGTCTCAGTATCTTGAGTGCTGGGATTACAGGCATGCATCACCACACCCAATCCTACTTATACTTCTTTTTTTTTTAATGTATTTAATAGAGGGTCTGCAGGATCTCACTACACAGATTGGACTCATAGTGGTCCTCTTGTTTTCAGCCTCCCAAGCACTGGAATTACAGGCGTGCACCACCACGCTCAGTCTCAGTCACCATCTCAGTGTACCCTGGGGGTGGGGCTGGCACGGGATGCTGGGGATCAAACCCCAGTCCCTGGGTCTGCCTAAGCAGGCACTTTAATCCCCTGAGATCTCTGGTTGGTCTCCAGCCCCATTTTTAAAATGCTTATTTTTGAGCTGTTTCAGGCAGGGTCTTGTTATGTAGTTTAGGCTGGCCTTAAACTCACTGTGTCACTCACATGCAATCCTGTCTCAGCTTCAGAGTTCTGGTATTACAGGTGTATACCACCATACTTGGCTCTAGTATCCCTGTTTTATTGCTAAGAAAACAGACTCAGAGCTTGAATTGCCCAAGGTCACACAGCTTATGTTGAGCAAAATTAAATTTGAACTCAAAACCAGCTCAACTAGGTAGAGTTGGCTGTGCTGGAGAAAAAATGCCCAGGGGGTAACACAGGTGGCAGTAGTGGCCAATCAGCCCATGGCTTGATGTATGTTTTCTCTTTTTGGGGGGGTGGGTACCAGGGATCAAATTCAGGACCTTGTGCTTGCCAGGCTGGCGCTTACGCTGCTGAGATATTTCCCTGACCCTTGGTGTATATTTTTTTTTTTTCTAGAACCAGGGATTGAACTCAAGTCTTTGCGCTTGCC